CTACCTTCAAACTTTCATATCAAGTTGAAAATTATTATCACCTTCGTTACTATGTAGAATTAAATAAATAATAATTGTTGAATTGAATTTTTGATTTTCCCGTCGATTTATTGGACCGAAGTGCTCGGTCTCAGGTTGACATGTCGGCTTCTTGTGCAGATGCTTCGACGATGTCTGGGTATTTAATTGGTGGATGGTGGCTAGCAGTGGATAACGCTTTGGCGTTTGAAACTATGGGTACTGGGTTCGAGCCTCGGTGGGAACATCATCACTCACTGAGAAATGCAGGTACATCCGGATGACGAGTCCCAAATAGGACGAAATGCGCTTTATCCTGGATTCCACTGCTAGCCACCATCCACCGATTGTACACCAAATAATAATTGTATCCATGTAAAATAATCTATATAAATGCGGTTGTTTTTGAGAATGAAATCGCGGAAAAGATCGCCATCTTTGCTGAACTTCTTGTTCTTTTCAATATATATATATTTCTCTCTACTTCTTTGTCCTCCTCTTGTTGTTTGCTATCACTTTTCATATCTCCGGTATAGGTGTTGCGTCATTTCGACTGCACGTGTCTAGTGTTGCATCGATAAAGAAAGATTTAGTGATTGACCTCTCTCTTTACCTAACTAACTCTATTACTCTATAATACTCTCACCCTGTCCCACCCAACTTACTGTGTGATTACATGCAAATGAATAAAGTACAATGCAGTGGCAGAGCTCTGTTTATTCTAGGTTATTTAACTTATTTGGGTCAATAATTTTATAAGTCGTGACCAGTAGGGTACAGTAGGTTGAAGATGAGACAGTAACTCATCGAAGAAGACATTGCGAATTGGTCGCGCTATGTCTTGAACAGGCAGAAGTTAGAATTCAAGGACCATTGGATCGGGTCCCAGTGGCTCAATGGTCTACGAGCTCGCCTTGTAACCAGAAGGTCTTGGGTTCGAATCCCGGTGGGTGCGTACTGCTGAAGATTCCCAAACTAGGAAGAAACAGCTGTCCAGTACTCTCAGCTGGTTTTCCAATGGTTCTCTAACTAATGTCAGCTCATGATTAAATCCTCCATGCAATCAAACAAAATCCCTACAAAACCAATACTTGAAAATTTTATAAGTATCTAAATTTTAATGCTCAGCAATTGTAAATGACCCCGATCTATTAACCTGACCTGTGTGCAACCGACCTCACAGTGTTATCATTACATGGTATTTAGTAAATTGTATCATTTTTCTTAATTGGATCTATCGGATCCTTAAGCCGATAAAGTTTATCTCTGAGGGAGTTGGTCGGTCGGTTGGTTGGTTGGTTTAAATGTCACTCTGACTAATTCCAGCCTCAATGAAAATTCTACGCAAAGCTTCTGACGTGTTCCTTCTTTAATACAATGATGCTATAGAGGCTTTGAATTCTGTATTATTTTCGTCATCTCCCTAGTGGTTATCTTATTTTTTTTTCTATGGGTCCTCATACAATTCTGAAAAAAAAAATCTGGTGAGCAGTTAGTTGTTCATCAGTAATTCTGAACATGTGCCGAAAAGCCTATGTCTCAAGGGAACAAACTCTTATAGTAGCCCTATTACCAGACATCTCCTCGACACGGGTCATGAGGTGGAAATCAAGAAATCCTTCGAAATTATGAATAGGCAAAGGAGCTCCATTCTCCTCAAGTTTGCCAAAGCAATTTCTATCAAACGCTTGAAACCAGATTTATGTGTTCAGAAAGAAGCAGTTATTAGTCTTTCCTTGCCTTGGTAACTGGATGTCTTTTTTTTCTCTCATCTGGTTACGTAATTCTTTGTCTTTAACCTCACCCCCACCCCTTTTATAATCTGTAATTTTGCTTGTCTCTTGTTTCTATGATTTGAGTTGAACTCAGTACGTTGTTACCTAACTTATTAGTCACTATGCGTCTAACACACATCTCATCTTTATTATGTAACTCCTTTACCATTTTCTGCATACATTTATTTTGTTTAAACTTGAACTGCCTGTGTAAAAACTATATCATTGCAATTTTCTGAGCACTATTCACATCTCATAATTTCCCGTATGATTATAGCTGTTACTGTTCACCACGCATACACATATCGTAGCTTCCACTAACCAATACTGAAATATTTTTTCATTATTTGTGTTTATCTTCCTTTTTACTTGGTATTTTTATTTGCATTTTTTTGTTATTTCTGTGTTTCTTTTTTTGGTTTTTTTTATATATTTTATTTTTTTATGATACTCCTTTTAAATGTACGATGAAATTAGATGCAATATTGTAGATATGTGCTGAAAGTTTCACACTGTACCACAAGTACTGTTTCTGGAATAAAGCGAAATTGTTATTGTTATTGTGGAACTCTCTGTCAACTGACATGTTAAAAATTTTCCGTAGGTAAACCTCATAATTTATTTAGGCTGTAAGCAGCTGAAATGATGACAGGGCAAGGTAATAAATGATGGTACCATATTATTCCGCACAAACCACCACTGTTGTGTTCTTGCTTTATTCAAAGTAACATTTTCTTTATTTGATTGATTGGAAGATTTCACCATGAGCTGACATCAGTTAGAGAACCATTGGAAAACTCAATTACAAATAAACATCTCTTACACCAAGTCTCTCGTCTTCCCTCGTGTCACAACTATCTGTACAGCTTTGACGGGAAGTTATGAAGGGCATCTCCTGTGTTGACCTATGTATTCTTGATTTATTTCACATAGGTGATTTGTTTAACCGACTGTATGTCTATTTAAGAAATTAGAAGTTGCAGCTAACAGGGTCCATCAAGTCAAGCAAGACGATAGTTGCTTACCTGTGACACCGGCTGGCGGTTGGTTTAAATTTGTATCACAAACAGGCAGAAGCTGGAATTCATGGATCATTGATTCGTGTCCCAGTGTCTGAATGGTCTACGAGCTAACCCGCCTAGTAACTGGAAGGTCTTGAGTTAGAACCTTGACAGTGAATGAGTACTGATGAGGTGACCTGAACTAGGAATAAACCTTTGTCGAGTACTCCCCATTGGTTTTCCAGGGGTTCTCCAACTGATATCAACCCGCAATCATTCCTATAATCAATACTATTTTTATTATTGTTCCCTTGGGTTCCTAGTGGAACATACGGCTTCAACTGCACGTCTACACTTGCCACTTCTGTCTTCCATCTGCTGTACTTTTCACCTGCATCCATCAATGTTAGTCCATACTGCTTCAACTCCTCTTCACACGATCTCCTCCATGTCGCCCATGCACTGACGACCCACTCTCCACTTCCCATTCTGTCGGGTTCCACTCGAGAAATGGCCTGACGCGCGCGCGATGTCACCCAGCGGCCTCCTCACTCAGCGAGTATCAAATTCATCTCCACTTTCTCCTGCATATTTCTTGCTTGGCGACTGGTTCTTGTTTTGTTTTGTTTGTTACCATAATTTCTTGTTGGTGATTCTTTCCGACACGGCCATCTGATATTCAGCATAGATCCAGCGAAGACAGTTGTTGATAAAGGTCTGCATGCAAAAGCCTGTTGGAAATATTCTTTGTGACCCGCCTGTCAAGTTTCTGATCCAATCCATACAGAAAAACTGACTGACTTGACGTTGTTTATATTGAAAATCCGACCGAATTTTATTGTTGATGCTGAGTGACGAACCTCGCCTAGATTACTAGCTCGCTAGTTTCCTAGCCGGTCGCAAGCCCAGATAAAGAGGGAGGTTTGGGGTGTGGTGCTAGCAACTCCACCCCCCCCCAAAACTTAACCAAATTGCTACAGAAACTTCAACGCACAAATATATCAAAAATTCTAAAATATAATCAATAAAATCCCTGCAAATCAACAGCCGATATTTAAGATAGACTTGGATTGTTAGAGTACTGTTGACAGAGAATCAATGAGGATTGATGATGTAATGAAAATCTGCATTTCAAGTCACACCACCGATTCACTGGAATTAGTCAGAGAGAATCACTTTAAACCAACCAACCGGCGGTAGTACTGGATAACTGTTTCGTCTTACTTATGGACTTTTCAGTAGTGTGGTATAATTCTGACGAAATCTCAGTATGGATACAGAGGGGTAGTTTCGTATATGCCAGTTTACGCAGTCTCTGGCTTAGTAGACGTGATACCCGGCTGGCTATTGACCAAAGGGCGGGTGTACTGCTCATCAGTCCGCTCTGTCCTCCTTTATGGCTGTGAGTGAGATATGGCCATTGAGAATGAAAGACATGAAAAGACTGACTAGCTAGCTGTCTTTGATCATAGGTGCCTGCGCTCTATCTTCCGTGTGAAGTGGTATAATAAGGTGAGCAATGTTGAGCTTAGGCGTCCAGTGAGTGTTAGGTAAGGAGGGGAAATCAATCGACGAGGCTGTGAAGCTACATCTACTGAGATGGCTAGGGAATGTGTTATGTAGGCATGTATGATTCGGATTTTCAACTCCAATATGAAGTCAGTCATTGGTACTACACAGATCAAAGACTTGGCCAGCGCGTCATGAAGAGCACCTCAAGCAAACTACAGACCTTCATTGACAGTTGTCTTCACTTAATACTTCTCAAGATCAGATGGCCGTCCAGTAAAGATCAGGAACAGGAATCTCTGGCAATGAGCGAACCAACTCAGCAGGAACCGATTGTGAAACAAACAGGCAGGAAGAAATGGAGATTGATTGGCTGGCCATACTCTGAGGAAACAAACCATCAAGTGAGTGACATTACTAGACAAGCCATCGCTCGAGTGGAACCCGTCCGAAAGGGAATCGGCCAGATGGTCGTGAGTGTGAGGGTGACTTGGAGGAGGTCATGTGAAGAGGAGATGAAAGCATGCGGCCAGATGTGTGCAGACTTGGAACCGGGTGAAAACTCTAGCGGAGAACTGAACGCAATGTAGACGCGCGGCTGAAGCCTTATGTTCCTCTAGGAATTAAAGGAAATAATAATAGTAATAATAAATACAGAGTTGAATGGAAAGCAAAAAACACTAACATCGATAATTACCTCAACAAAAACTGTGACTGTCGCCGTTGACGTCTGTGAAGTAACCGTCGATGGATTACCATCATAAGCAATCACATTAAACACATACATACTTTGTTTTTCACGATCCAATGAAACCGACGTTCTCAAATAACCTTGTGTAGCGTGTAGATTAAATGTTCGACGTATATCCAACGGAGAATCATTCGCTATTCTTAATGTTATATATGATGTTGGCGAAGGAAACGTCTGTTTTGACGGTGATGATGATGATGATGATGACGATTTTCCACCCGAAGCGGATAATTTATTCAACAAATTATGTGTCATCGCTTTACTCTCCACATCTAAATCAATAGCAATGATACGTCCAACTAACCAATACGCTGGCCTATTCTCTTTAACATGGAAGACATAATTATTTACAAAGTGTAATTCATTATGATCAATAGATGTATTATTGTTATCAGTTGAATGAATCTCACTGCCAGCGCTACTAAGACTTCGTGAAGAACTACCGCTACTACTACTTAAACCATCCTTATCAGTAATAGAAGTAGTAGTAGTAGTATCTGTGGCATTGAATATTGAATTATTTGTTTGTATGAATAGCGGTGGCCAATCATTAACATCAGTGATTTTAATTTCAATCGTCGCTGTCCCCGTATGTCGAATTGATGTCAACTGATTCGGTTGATCCAAAGCATACACGTTAAAACGAAATAAATCAACATTTTCTACATCGAATTTCTTCAGGGCATATAACATTCCTGTTTGTGAATCAATACGAAAGAGTTGATCCACCCGGATTGCCTCACGACTTTGATGATAAATGAAAACGTTTTTATCGTCAAGAAGAGTTTGTTTATTTGTTAGTAGGTAAGCTGAAGGTAGAACTGAACTATCCGATGGTTTAATCTCTAAGAAATGTTCATCCAAATAGTATTCAATACGTGCATTCTCGCCTTGATCATTATCTTCAGCGAGGACACGACCTATACGATATTCATAATGATCTTCATGATCAACACCATCAACATCATCGTCTTCTCTTCCATTTGACGTAGCAAGTATTGATTGATGTGGTGGTGTATATGTGATTTTATCTTTATTATTATCATTATCCCGATTGAGATATCCATCAATAGTGTTAAACGATTTCACTTGTTTATCACTATTCTCTGGTAGATTAAATCGATATATTGATTTTTGAAATCTTGGCTGTTCATCATTCATGTCGAGGACACGGATTCGGATGGTTTGTTCATTGAAATTCAATGCTTGATCTGTACATTTTATACGGATATAATATAAGGGGTTGAGTTCACGATCAGGTTTTGTAATCAGATTTAAAATGTAATCATTTTTGGAATTTGTAGATGTCAGTGACAAGGATGATGAGGATGACGAAGACGGAAGTTGTAATCGACTATTGACTTCATGAAGATTATCAATCAACGCATTATTGTTATTACTACCATATTGATCGATAGAATTGATTGATTTCAAGGAAAAGTTTACAGTATCAGTTAGTGAACATGTGACTTGATCATTTCCATTGAAATCAAGATCCCTTACTTGGACGTATGCTAGTTGAATAGGTGGTCGAATATTTTCTTTAACTAAACCTATAAGGAAAATGAAAATAATTTATTAATAATAGGAATGATATTGAAACATTGAACCGTAGAACGCGTGTGGTTTAGTTTCAAGGTCATACATGGATATCTTTTGAAAATAGCGGATAAACCGTAATATTGACCTCATGATGACATGTCGGCTTCTTGTGCAGATGTTTCGACGATGTCTGGGGGTGTAATTAGAAATTAGCTGGTGGTGTCAACCTGAGACCGAGCATTTCGGTTCAATCGATCGATGGGAAAATCTAAAACTCAATTAAATAATTAATATGACCCGTTGCATCAGAGGTAGTTTTCGTAGCCCAGGTGGTCTAGTGGATAACGCTTTGCCGTTTGAAACTATGGGAACTGGGTTCGAGCCTCAGTGGGAACATCATTACTCATTGACCGGGAATTCAGGTATATCCAGATGACGAGTCCTAAATAGGACGAAACGCGCATCCTGGATTCCACTGCTAGCCACCATCCACCAATTGTATACTAACTAAATGTCCGGACATCGTCGAAGCATCTGCACAAGAAGCCGACATGTCAACTTGAGACCGAGCACTTCGGTCCAATCAATCGACGGGAAAATCAAAAATTCAATTCAATAAAGGAGGCGTAGGGTATGCGGAAAGCACTAAGTTGTCGACGTCAGCATACTTGACTGATCTGGAAACCACTTTCAGTGTATCAACATTGTGGATTCAATTGACTGGTGGTCTGCTGAACCTCGATCAATATTTTGTATATAACTTCCTTTATTCAGTTTGTTTAAATCAAGTAAAATATGATATATAATAGTATTATTGACTCTGGCGGGCATTTTAAACATTTACAATCCGCTAATTCGCCATTTTCTACTAAACATGAGAAAAGCATTATCCTAGATGGCAGCCTATCCCAATAAATGAGATTACTGTTCCTTAGTGGTGTCCTTGTTTCACGAAACGTACTTCTGCACTATTTATAATCGATATTCAACGAAATGGCATTATGTACTTCTCGAAGAAGATAAAGAAGAGATATCATAATATTGGATTGAGTTGCGACGTTTCATGTCAGATAAAGTTATGTTACACAAACTTCTGTCGTCAATCAGTTTTTTATTTGAAGATCCTGGACGACGAGAATATATCAGGCAATAAACTCCGCTGAAAATTCTTCACATTATATAAATACTGTTCAGAATAAGGTGTCTTTGAGATGTCACTTGCTTCCGATGTCAATCTTGAGCGATGACAAGATGAAACTGAATAGGTGATCAGCATAAGGAACCATGAAAATTCTAGATTCTGTTGACAGGTTGGACATTTGAATGTTTAGACTGTTTATTAAGACGATTCTGCATTATGTTAACCTCTAATTCTTACCGCAGTCTTAGACCTTAACTCCTGACCACAATTAAACCCTTACCCCTAACTCCCAGTCCTAATATAACCATTATTAAGAAGACAGCTGCAGTGAAGCAAATTTTCTTTTCGACGAATTCACCGTCAACTAGGCTGTACATTCGTGTATTTATAACAAATAGATGGGAAAGTTCCAGAATAATTTCCGGTCAAGTGTCAAATTAATAAAATTGCAATTAGGAATTAGAAATGCCATAATAAACAGGAGGATGGATCAAAAATCACTCAAACAAAGTAGCATCATAATTACTGAGAAGATTGACATTGATTGTACAGTTGGGAGTTAGAAATGTCGAAATAACAAGATAGACAGGATGGTTGGATAAAAAAACTAATGTGACGAATAATTGTTTATGCAATCAAGGATAAAATATGTAGAAATAGTACAATGACAAAATAAACTTGGAGTTCGGATGTGAAAATATGGTAGTGTAAACAGGGATTAGGAAAAACTTAGAAATAACATGAATAAACAGGAAGCTTAGATAAGAAAGGCGATGGACAGTCATTACTAAAAGAGTTACCTGTTTATGATGGCCATGGTAGGGACATGGGTTGGATGTATATAATTTTGGATAAATAACGCGGGTTTGTATTTTGGACAGTTAGTGCCTTGACTATGCCCATATGTCTTGATTTCACTCCCTTTGATAGGTTTGATTGGATCTTGTATATAATTTTGAAGGATTTCTGGAATGTTGCTGAAAATCCTGAATTGACCAGATGTTCTGTCACCGAACTATTTAACCATTTTCTTTCTCCTTTTACTAGCCAGACTGGATAGTGTTCACCAGCGCTTTTTTCAAGTTGGCGCATGGTACGGCAGATGTACTCAGATCCGCAAGGGCAAGTAAACTGATACATATGCACGTTGAGGTGGCCCAATGCGACAGCTGGTCTTTCGCGTTCTGGCTAAATAGTTTCTTGCAGGAAAACGTCAATCGTAGGCTGGCGGCGAAGTGTGTTTTCCTCAGAGATTTGGACAGGCGTTTACGAATGATTTCCGCTTCAGTATCACCTTTGAAGTTTTTATTTGTTTTTTTATTTTTGATTACAGCTTGATTCCACACCGTATTTTTAGTACAAGTATGGAATTTTCAGCGTGGATATCGATAGCCCAAATTTTGCAGGCCGAACATAGATATCAGGCGTGCGTCGGTGTGGGCTCGAACCTCGGACCATGTGCATGGTCGGCGAGAGTCCTAACCACTGTGCCACCGACGCAGAAGTATTTTCTTTGGAGCGGACTGGACTTGTCCGCTAGTCTTCTTAGATTTGAGATTCTTATCTATGAACCTGGGCGGGAAACCGTTAGTGCTAACTCCTAACCGTATTATAACGCTTAGTGATATAAGGTAATGCTCACTGACTTTCTAGCCATTTGGACTGGATTTCGACTCATGACTCATGAGTTCTGATTTCTCTCATTTCGTGATGTAGCACTCGCTTCATCTTTACATGGTGCCTCTCAGTGACCACGATTTTCCACTACCAACTTCGGAACATCCATCCAATAGCCACCAGTGTGCTAAAGATTGATATATTCAGATTATGAGATTTGTGACGATTTACATTCATTTCAATGCAGATTTAATCATGAAGTAATGTGAGACATATAGTCCTTCACAAACACGAAGATGCTTTATCCTCACTTATTTAACTAAAACGCCACAATTCATTGTCTTATGAATTGTATAATATTCTCATATCGATAAAATTGAAGGGGACTTGAAATTGATTATTTCTCTGATCAAATCCTTAGGTATAAAAAAAGGGAAGCTGGTATGATCCCTTCGACAGTTGATATGATCGAGTGAACTTATACGTGAGTATAATAACAATAGACGCAATGGACAGCTCAACTGATATGCTAAATACGCCTATTCGTCCATGGTACCTTCTGCTTTACTGACGAAGATGACAGCAAACAGGATGACCATGATGATCGCTTATTTGGTAATGTATGGGGTATATATAACTTAAAAACCTCAGGAATTTAAGTCATAAATAAACAAATCTGATTGTTTGGCCAAGAACAAACAATAAAGAATAAAGATGACAGAATATCACAATCAGGTCAGAAGTCATCCGATCCAGATGAGGAATTCTGCTATCGTTAGCTTAAAATATTGATTACAATTCCTAGCTGTGTCCAATCAAAGGAAAAAAGTCCCGTCCAAAAGGTGAGGCACAAATCATCTTTAACCAGTCAAGCATAGTCTATAAAAATTATTGTGCATATCTACAGCACACGGCATAAGCAAGAAGATTTAAGCTTCGTACACTAATATGAGATTCGTTAGTGATTCATTATGGTACAGAAACTTGGCGCGTAATCCCTTTCAGCAGGCTACTACGAACTTCCATCAGTATTCACCTCCCTTGACTAGAAACTGGATATCAAATGTCCAGTAAAATAAGATAAACTACAAATAAGTGTGACAACAACTCATTTTAGAACTTATTTCCGAAAAAATATCAAGGGAGACAATGAAAATGCATTAGAAATACACTGAGAAGGCCGTTGAGTGACATCACACGCCAGACGTTGGAGTGGGATCTAAATGGGAAACGTTGAGTTTGGCTTTGGTTCAAGGCTGACATGCAGAAAATCGCGTGAACAGGAGGTAGAAACTTACAGAGTAACTCAAAAAGACACAGTTTGAAATGAGGAGATTCATTTTTGAAAACCTATTTTTCACTCAGAATCTAATGGCATAGTTACAATATGTTCATTCAGAAGCCCGTTAACTCAAACTAATTTGAATAAGGCATTAAGAAGACCAGTTTTGTTCCTATCCAGTATAAACGTTCCCTAGTGAAATATTTGTTCTCAAGGGCTCGAAAAATATGTACGAGTGACACATTGATGGATGAGCTTCGACATATACATTCAGTTTTACTAGCCAATGGTTATCCAGAAAACTTCATCAATTGTCATGGTAAGGATAGACCACATCTTGAAAAGACAGCTTCTGTACCAAAGAAAGCCATCTTTATGAATCTACGATTCAAGGGCGACCAGATTATGCAGTTGACAGCTCAAAGACTTCCGTCAGCCATCAAACGCACATTCTACGCCACCGCATCTCTTTTTCTCACATGCCGAACATTTTCGATCCCTGTTCCTACGATTAAAGGACGAAATTCTCTAAACTCTACTTCAAACTGTATCTACAGGTGTTCACCTGCAGCTGCGGTGACACCTATATAGGTAGAACTAACAGAATGTTCCAGTGTCGTCGTCGAAAAGAACATGTTCCAAAATGGTTAGTAAATCATATCGAAAATCCTAACGCGATTAATCTTAATAGAAATCCAGCATAGCCATCCATTGCAAAACACTTATTAATGTTTGGTCACAAAATCAATATTAATGACTGCTTCGCAATTATTTCATCACATAATTCTAATTCAAGGTTGGTTATTGAAGATGATGGAAGCACTTTTGGGGATTAATCATATACAGCCTAAACTGTGTGTACAAAAATCGATGGACTTCAATCTTCGCCTACCCTGGACAACATGACCTGTCTAAATATGATTGATCATTAGTACGTATGTACTTTTTTTATTTAACTGAGTAATTTTCAT